AAAAATATAAAAAAGGGAAAGAAAAACATTATGAAAGATGTATTTGAAGTCAAATGCCATAAGAAAAGAAGCAGGAAAATAAATAAGATGTTTGGACACAACTGTTTATAGATAAGATTTTGATGAAGAAACATTGTTCGGGAATTTAGTTTATATTTACAATTATTCCCCAAGTTTAGAGTCGGTGCTCGGCATGAAGTGTGTGTGTACATGCTGACAACATGGAGCGACATCTTAAGTTGGTTTGGAGACGTGATCAGAGTCCACGATCGTAGTCTGTGATCGGAGTCGGTCTCTCACCCGGACCTTGATCTTCAACTCGGAGCCACTTGGATGGTGAAGGAAGAAGTCCCCTTTGTTGTTTTTGTGCACAAACAAACAAACACTGCGGGAGAAAATAACCAGGGACAATTTAAAAAGTGAAAAATTCCATTGTGTGTCCTGATCATTGTTTTGAAGATGGCTGTGTGGGATAAAACCGTGGTGCCCTCACTACCACTCGTAGGAAGGTTTGAACCATTCTGTGGAAGGCTTGATCCTCTTCTTTGTGCAGTTCTGGGATTGTTTAGATTACAAATATAGAAGCTGGTGAGTTTCCTGGTGCAAGGACACCAGTGTCATGGACTTGTGTCAGGACTAAGCAGTGTGATAATATTTACTGAGGATATTACCAGGAGGAAATGACCCTTGATAGGGATAAGCCGAGGCCTATGCTAATGCAGGCAGCACACTTGGGAATTTACTGTGAATTTCTGAACAGATAGGCTCAACATGGTATATGTATGTTTACTAAACAGCTTTGTAAACAATATATTTGTTGCTGAGGCTTACGTATTCCTTGCTTGCTTGCTTACTCACTCACTCACAATGCAATATACAACACAATACAATATACAATACAATGTACAACCCCTTGTACAATGCAAGGTACAACCTCTTGTACAATGCAATATACAACCCCCTATACAATGCAATATACAACCCCTATAAAATGCAGTGTACAACCCCCTATACAATGCAATATACAACCCCTATACAATGCAATATACAATCCCTATACAGTGCAATATACAATGCAGTATACAACCCCCTATACAATTGCAATATACAACACCATATACAATGCAACATGCAACCCCCTACTCAATGTAATATACAACCCCCCATACAATGCAATATACAACCCCCTATACATATATAGAACATCATACTAGTGCATTTGGATGTTTTGTATTGAACGAGAAAATGTCATGGGAGCAGAGAAACAATGAGTTCGAAACATCCAAAAGCCCTAGTATGACGTTCTATATTTATTATATACCCTCTTATCTTGCATTAATCTGTTACTTAATAAAACAAAACCATCAGAACCGGCAGGGGTTCAATACGGAATCTGGGGTGCACCCCTGTATTACTACCCTAAATTTACATGGGTATATAATAAAATTCAATATACAACCCCTTGTACAATGCAATATACAACCCCTATACAATGCAATATACAACCCCTTCTACAGGTTCTCAGTGGTTCCCTGCACAAGCAGTCTTCAGTCAGAGGCCAAGCGGGTGTATTACCTGTCAGGTATAATAGCCCTGGGGCATGACAAATATATTCTTAGCCTGGTTTAAATATGGTGATGTCATGATTAAAGTATGTCAAGTATGCTGTGTTGTACAAGGGTAGAGGAGCCTCTGTCTAGACTGCCTCACAGTCTCTAAACTACATTGGTTTTCCTTCCTCTGATCACTTTCTGCAATGCAAGAGCCCCAAATGAAACGAGTCCAGATTTGTCTGAATTTCCCTTTTCAATTTAAATGGAATTGTTTGTTTTTGTCAAAATGATATAGATTCAGAGACTATGTATTAGTCTACCCCTGCCTATAGCAACAAGTGACATAGTGCTTGTTGATAACAGTTTATCATACCGTTCTCAATTGTACAATATAATGGTACTGTAGGTATTCATAGATAACGAGAATATTGCCTGAATCAAATCACCTGTCAAGTCAGTGGTTGAAGCATTCGCTCTTCACATGGAAGACCTGGGTTCAATTCCCCACATGGATACAATGTGTAAAGCCCATTTCTGGTATGATAAATTGCTGGAATATTGCTTAAAGAGGCGTAAAACCCAACTTATTCACTGATATCATCGTAACCAATCACATGACAAGAATCTCCAAGGCAGAAACATTGTGTGGTTAAGTTCTGGACTGTCAGTAAGAACCTAGACTAACAACTAGTCTCTGAAATGAACATATTTTACTGAAAAAAGTTCATAGTAAAAAATAATAAAATATAATGAAAAGAAGCCCTGAGACTTTCTTCTGAGGAAATCTAGACTTGCCACATTTTCTAGACTTGTGTGGGCTTTCTTGGATATATTTGCTTCAGGGTCTGTACGACAGACTAGTAAGAATATTGCATGCACAGAACTACACACTGGTATTGTAGAACTGTGTGTGTGAGCGTCGAACTGTCTTCAGACTTTGTGGAGAACTTGAACGTCCTGATGGGATCAGCTATTACACTGAAGGCCAGTGGATAGATATTGTGTTCATTTCTTTGGTAAATGTTACCTTAGGCCTCTTTATAGGGACTTTGGACGGGGTTTAATTGTTGAATATTTGTGGTGTTTAGTGGGTTTAGCAGCATTACATGCGAGTGAGTGAGTGAGTTTGGTTTTACGTCGCTTTTAGCAATATTTCAGCAATATCATGGCAGGGAATACCAGAAATGGGCTTCACACTTAGTACCCATGTGGGGAATCGAACCTGGGTGTTCGGCGTGACAAGCAAACTCATCAACCGCTAGGCTACCCCACCGCCCCACATTACATTGGATGTGTCAGAGTTAGCTGAAAAGGGGATAAGAAGTGGGAGGTTTACAAATCTGAGGCAGTCTGTGTTAAGAGCTTAGTAGCTTAATTAGAGGGATTGTTTTGATGATGATGATGATGGTGACATTTTGGAATGAGTGTTTTACACTGCAGGCAACTTTATCAGATAGTCAGACTCATTGAATTGCGTAGATCGATGCTTATGCTGTATATCACTGGATCATCTGGTAATCTTGATTATCTACAGAGTGCCGCTATATAGCTGGAATATTGCTGAGTCGTCTTGGGAGGGTGTGTGCAGAATGTCATTGTGTGGAGTGTAAGAATATGTCTGGAATGTCCTGTGATATCAAGAATGCCTGTATATTTTAGATTCACATCCATCTCCTGGCTGTAATCTCCTAGCGGGAAGACCAGTCATTTGTTAGCCAGATAGCACTGTAAGACGGTCATGTTGAGAATGCATGGTGAATAGATCGAGTTGTCAGGGAACAGGAACCCTCTGGATGTCATGATATGTCATGATACATAAGTTTCATGAATCGATATGTATCACGATACCCATGTCACGATTCGATACGTATCACGATACCTATTTTCGCGGCATTAAATTTAGTTACATTTTGAGCATTAGTATTTCATATTTTATAATTGTCCATGGAAAGATCAACATTTTTTATTCTCACAAATTAATAAGTTCTAATTTCCCATCTTTGTGCATGTTAAATAATTATTTATAACTCTCATAACATAAAAAAAACATGATACAATTGCAAAATGTAAACGATACATTAACATATTTAAACCGATACTTTCAAAACTAAATATCGATACAGTTTTGAATGTATCGATAATTGTATCGTCTTAGAAAAAGTATCGATGCACTGATGTATCGATATATCGTGGCATCCATACTTCTGTGTTACTTGGCAGTTGATGGAGGGGGCGTGGCACTACTGGTTGATAAAGGCTGGTAGTTAAACTGATAGTGGTTTAATGCAAGGCAGTATGTATTTTGTTATTGTATGGGACGGCTTCATCCATCGATATGAGATGACAGTGTTATATATACTGGACAAAAATAGTACATTTTGAAATTATGAATAATGATTTATTTATTCATTGACACCATGATAAAATATCAATCATAAAAATACCAATATCCCTAACTTATTTTGTCCAGTATATTTGGTGTGAGAGTTGAACATTTAGGCATTAATGCAGCATTTTGCGTATCTTGGTGGGTTACGATTTCAGTGTAAGTAAGCAAGGTTTTATGCCACTTTTAACAATATTCAAGCAAAATGTTGTTGAGGGATGCCAGCAATCGGCAGCAGTCTGAACGCATCTTGGTGTGACAAACAAATGTGTAACCAACCTGTCTTCCCTGCCGGCCCTACAAACTGTATTTTAGAACATGATTTGAACCACATTATTGGAGAGAGATTATTGACGATCCTTCTCCTGATCCACAGTTAGATTTTATTGTCTCAGGTGCTGTATGACTCCGTTTTCCAGTCCAGTTAGTGTTTTGTTTTGTTTAACACAACACTAGCAGTACTCAAGCTATATTGGACTGCTTCTGTGGTGTAGTGGTTAGAGCGTCCGCCCGGAGAGCGGAAGGTCGCGGGTTCGATCCCCGACCGCGTCATACCAAAAGACGTTAAAATATGGTACTTGTTGGTCCCTGTCTGGCGCTCGGCATTAATGGGTACAACAAGGACTGGTCGGCTCGGAGTCAGTATAATGTGTCTGAGTGGGGTATTCCTGCTTCACTGCGGCATGGTATCTCAATGAGCTAGCACTATAAAACCAGCATCAGTCTGGGCTAGTACAAGCAGCAGTACATACACATACACATACACACGCATGCACGTCGTCATATGAGCGAAATATTCTCAAGCACAACGTTCAACCCAATTTCACCTCACCTCACCTCACGCAAGCTATATTGGGGCAGTCTGTAAATAATCAAATCTGGACCAGACAATCCAGTGATCAACAGCATGTGTATCGATTTACACAGTTAGGAAACGATGTCAATGAAGTCAGTGAGCCTGACCACCCGATCCCTTTGGTCGACTCTTGCGACAAACATGTGTTCATGAAGACCAATTCTAACCTGAATCCAGTTAATGTATAACCATGTTGATGCTTCAGGTGGCCCCTACATCATGGTATCGCCCCACAACGTCACTGCCATTGAAGGACAGCGGAACAAGTTTCCATGCGGAGCCGAGGCGTACCCCAATAACATCACCTACAGCTGGTTCAAGGATGGCATCGACGTGGAGACTCTCCCCGGGTTCCAGGTGGGCCGTATCAGCATCAGTCCCGATGGCAATCTCCTCATCTCCTCTGTCATCAAAGACGACATGGCCTGGTACATGTGTCGCCCCAGCAACGGCATCGGAGAAGATGAGGCATCGGCGTATCTCAATGTCACATGTAAGTGAGTGAGTGAGCGAGTTTAGTTTTACGCCGCACTCAGCAATATTCCAGCTTTATGGCGTATATCTGTAAATAATCGAGTCTGGACCAGACAATCCAGTGATCAACAGCATGAGCATCGATCTGCCCAATTGGGAACCAATGACATGTGTCAACTAAGTCAGCGAACCTGACCTCTTATCCCGTTAGTCGCCTCTTACGACAAGCATGGGTTACTGAAGATCAATATTCTAACCCAGACCTTCATCGGTCGTCACATGTAAGAATCTTTGTGTATTAGTGAAGTCGGCAAGAGGATGCGATTTGGCAGAATAATTTTGAGGGACATCAGAAATGTACATCACGCACTTTACCCATGTGGGCATTTGAACAAAGGTCTTCAGCATTATGTCTCTATTCTTGGACCAAACTATAACCCTTCTGCTCTAAACAATGTGTGATATTTGAAGTTTATACCGACCAACACTGGTTATGGATCATGAGTATTTGAGTGTCTCCATATTTCTCATCAATCCACTGTCTATACATTCGTCCTTTGTTCATACGTTGCTGGGGCGGTGGGGTAGCCTAATGGTTAAAGCGTTGGCTCGTCACGCCAAAGACCCGGGTTCGAATCCCCACATGGGCACAATGTGTGAAGCCCATTTCTGGTGTCCCCCACCGTGATGTTGCTGGAATATTGCTAAAAGCGGCTTAAAACCAAACTCAGTCAGTCAGTCATACGTTGCTACATTTTAGCATTTTTACAATGGATGGATATTAGTGTATCACCAGTAATAACAGAAATAATAATGGCTGTTTATATAGCGCCTGTATCCTCGCACTTGTGCATGCTCAAGGCACTAACATATTTCATTTATTATGAATGTCATAAAAAGACTTTTTCATTCTGAGAGTTGTCTCCCTTTGTTGTGTTTGTATTTTTAGCATGTTTCATTAGTAAAAAAATCGTGATTTCTTTTCTTCAGATTTTCCAAAAGTTCTTCCAATGCCAAGTCAGCTCACATGGGCTAAAGGTTTTCGTGAAAAGATCGACTGTCCAGTTGACGCCAATCCGTCAATGACCGAAACGATATGGACGAAGGATGCCATGATTTTGGACAGCACAGGCCGCATGGCTATTCTGACCAATGGCACGCTTGTGATCCGCAATGTGACGCTGCTAGACAGCGGCAGCTACAGCTGCACGCCGGTCAGCCTGCTAGGACGTGGGGAGACGTCGCCACACGTACAGGTTATAGTCCGAGGTGAGATACGACATTGTAAGTATCGGCAGTTGGAATGCAGCTGGAGGGTAGTGGTCCTAGAATCGCATGATACCTTTTCGGTGAAAATGGTGAAATTTTTAGTAGCACCAGAATACGTTTTGTCATTTCAGTGATTGTGCTGGTTAGGGGAGAGGATAGTTTTTCTTCTTAAATCTGATTTCTTGAAAATGAGCTCAGATAAGAGTTGTTTCACAAAGGTTTTTAAAAGATTTCAGATGTTTGTTTTGAAATGTGTACACGAAAAGTAAATATTTGTAGTTGTACACGAAAAATAAATAGTAGTTGTTTTATGTTTCTGAATGATCAAGGTTAAAGGGCACTCATAAATTTAAATATATTTAGAATTATATATTTGTATAAATAGTAGAAATATAGATTATTAATGATGCTCTTTTAGATAGATTGTTCCAAAGCATGTGACAAGCATGTGGATGTTGTGCCCGTTCCGTTCCAAGTCTCATCAAAACAGCACTTATTAAATCATTTTTGGTATGATTTAAAAATCAGAATTTCAACTAGTTTCAGACATGTCAGCTGTAGTTTTTGGGTCTGAAAGTCATTTTTGGGACGATACAGATTTATACATCAATCCTCGATGGAATTTAGCTTTTATAATGTTCCTTCTGATAGAGTACAAAATATGTGAGCAAAACTGAAAAGATTTGGACACGCTTGTTTCATGATTATTGGAGAGATTTATTCTTTTGAGTAAACATTTGAAAAGTGACAGGATTAATCCCTGACAAGTAAATACGGCCATGATTATATAGGGATTAATCCTTTGCAATTAAATACAACCATGATTAAATCAGGGATTAATCCCTTATAAGTAAATACAGCTATGATTAACATAAGGACTAATCCCATTTTATATAAATGGTAATCTTTTCTGTATACGTGGTATATATTCATCCGCCTGTAAGATGGGCAGATTATAATAGTTTTAGATATCATTTGATATGCACAGCACTGCCTGGACCACAGCCATAGGATATAGTTAGTCTTTGAATGTATCTTTTCACATTGATACGAGACGGTTCGTCACGAAATATGTTGCATGCTTTTGCAATGTAGATGGGTACATTTTTCTCACGAAGTTGTATATGGCTGAAAGCATGTGATAGCCTCGCAGAGAGACACGGATATATTAGCGTGAGCATCAGGTCTTGTTGTAAATACCATGTGACCAGCAACTGTGAGTCATTGATGACTATTTTGTATTAACGCTTCCATATTGTGACACAGATGTAACGGGTAAGAAGCGCCACCTACTTCCTGTCTGTTGTGTATTGTGATGTCTCGTAACGCCTCCTATATCCTGTGTGCAATGCTTTAAGCTGGAGTTGTCTCCCTTGTGTTCAGCTTTCATAGATAGGATATATGTCTTACTTCACAGCTGTTTGAACTCTTACGTTGTGCCCTGGCGCGGGTTTACATTATTGTCAGTACTTTCAGTCAATGAAATTGTTATTTTATCAGATAAGCCGTTATTTCTAACAGGTAGCAGCAGCTCTGTAGTTTGAAAGCAGTTGCCATTTTTTATCATGCGTCCTTAAAATGCTGTGTAGCCAATGCCGCCATTTTTAATTTTGAAAATACAAGATGATCTTTGTGTCATGATTCTTGAGAGTTTATTCTTCATTTGACCACTGCGACTATAGGTTTTTGACATAATCGTAAAAAGACCTCAGGAAGTTTGTAAATGTGTACCCCTTCCTCCTCTTGAGACTCTCACGAATGTTATTTTTGCCTACTCTCTCTAGCATTTCTTTGTTATTTCCCTCCACTCATTCTGATTTCTTTCAGTGGAAGTTTTAATGTCATCTCATTTCACCTCTATAGTATTGAATTCATCAACGTTCTGCTTTACATTAATCTTGCATTGTCGTTTTTTAGAAAATCTTCAATTTTTAGACCTGTAGAACTACACAAGCCCCAAACTGCAGACATGCGTTAAGTAATATTATCTCAGTGGAAGGTATTTAAACATTAATTATCTTATTTTGATTAACAATGGACAGTTAGGAATGTTTGATCTTACAAACATAAAGTGGTTTGTTTTAGCAAAGGGCAGCGTCAGATTTGGCTGACAGGATTCTTCTTTGAATACTTTTGACAATTATTACTTCTACATGTGCTCTATGAATATTTTCATACATTGAGAATTTTATAATGTTTTAAGACATTGAAGAAGTTAATATCCTACCTTTTCCTGATCATAATTTCATTATGTCAAATCAGAAACAATTGCCGCTAAAATAGACATAGCATGTTTCACATGTTATGTTAGGGATTACACTTTCTCAGAAAAGTACAGATTCTTGTACTTTAGGGGTAGAGTCCCATGTGGGATTCACCCCGCTCTCTCAGAGTCAGGCACCTAATTGCCACCACAAAAAGTCAGCCATCTAACCCACTCAGCCGTCGCCACTTTCTGAATGATGTTGTGTATTCAGGCCATATTTCTCTTTTTATATACCTGGGCCTAGATTTTCGAAGCTCTCTTAGAGCTAATATAGTCGTACGTGCCATTCATTAACACTAACTTATTACTATCTTAGGGCTAAGAGAGCTTCGAAAATCTAGGCCCTGTTCTCAATTGTACAGGCAGATTAGAAAGTATCCCAGAATACATATGTTTTCACTCCTCAATTGATCTTATTGCTGAAACATAGACTAAGATCTTAGTATCCATAAGTAACCAATATAAAGTCTGGAAAAACATTTTCTAGATTGTCAAAATTTAGAAACTAGTTAATATTGTCCCCAACTTTCTTTTATACTCAAAAAAACACTAGTGAGTAAGATTTTAAGCTGCATTAAGCAATTTTCCTGGAATATCACACAACTAGTTAATATTGTCCCCAACTTTCTTTTATACTCAAAAAAACACTAGTGAGTAAGATTTTATGCTGCATTAAGCAATTTTCCTGAAATGTCATGGGGGGACACACAATGCTCATTAGTAGGGAATCAAACCCAGGCCTTTGGCATCATTAACAAGTGCTTTAACCACTAGGCTATTACACTGCACCATGAAATAACCCTAAATGTAGAATAATTCTGTTAGAGAAAATATTGTACGACATATGTTCAGAGTTACATTTTTTCTTTCAATATAATGTTGTTGTTGTGTTGTTTTACAGAGACGTTGTTGTGATTTCAGACCCTCCTTACTTCATCCTCCGCCCGAGGTCGCTCTACCAGAAGAACCCTGGTCAGTCCGTCGTACTGCCGTGTTCCGCCACCCGGAACCCCGGAGCCTTCACTCAGCTGGAGGAAGGTGAGCTACGGAACAATCACTGTAGCTTTGTGTTTGTTTGTTGTAGTGTAGTGAGCAGTATTCTGCCTATATGAGTGAGTGAGTTTAGTTTGACAACACTTTTAGCAATATTCCAGCAGTATCACGGTGGAGAACACCAGAAATGGGCTTCACACATTGTGGGGAATCGAACCCAGGTCTTCGATGTGATGAGCGAACACCTTAACCGTTAGGCTATGCCACCCAACTCCAGCTATATGATCGTGAAGTGGGAAACAGGCAACCTTGTGATTTAAAAAATTGACCAGTCGTCCACGTTTGACAAACCCGAACTCATGATGATTTACACATGCAGGGATTCTGTATGAAGCAATACATGGTATGGAGATTTTCGTGTGGGAATTCCTTTGGAACTGAAAGGTCTTCTTAAGAACTTACTATAAGGATGATATCTTTTTGGGGTTTTATGGGGAGGTTTCAGGGTTCTTATAATACCCTAGATAACAGTTTTTCATGTGTTCTTTAAAGACTGAAGGAAAATTAATATAAGTTTAATAAAGTAAAAAGTAATAAAGAGCCAACTTATCTTGAAGCAGGATAGATCCAGCCATTACTTATATCAGTGCTTAGCCTCACTCACCCACTCTCTCATTCCTTCACTTACCCCCACTTTCTCACTCACTCATTCATTCACTAACCTCCTCTTTCTCACTCACTCACCCACTTGTTCATTCATTCACTCACTCCCACTTTCTCACTTTTTCACTAACTCCCTGCTTTCTTACTCACTTAATCATTCCTTCACTCGCTCCCACTCTCTCACTTCCCTCACTCATCCATTCACTCATACCCACACACTCTCTTTCTAACATTTCACAGATACAAGCCATAGTGGAGATCATTCATTCATTCATTCATTCATTTATTTATTTATTCACTCACTGTCTCACTCACTCTTCAAGGCATATCATTCATTCATTCATTCACTCACTGTCTCACTCACACTTAAAGGCATATCATTCATTCATTCACTCACTGTCTCACTCACTCACTTAGAGGCATATCATTCATTCATTCATTCACTCACTGTCTCACTCACTGACTCTTCAAGGCATATCATTCATTCATTCATTCACTCACTGTCTCACTCACACTTAAAGGCATATCATTCATTCATTCACTCACTCACTGTCTCACTCACTCAAACTTAAAGGCATATCATTCATTCAATCACTCACTCACTCACTCACTGTCTCATTCACTCACTCGCTGTCTCACTCACTCACTCTTCAAGGCATATCATTCATTCATTCATTCATTCTCACTCACTCACTCTGTCTTTCCACAGGTGCAAGGCGTGGTGGAGATCAACGACAGAGTCCACAACAAGCAAGGCAACCTGTCCTTCACCAACCTGGGAAAGGAGGATCATGGGATATATGAATGTGTCGCCAGTAACTCCATAGCAACCATCATTGCCGTCACCGAGCTGCGTGTCATGAGTAGGTCAACAATAAACTAAATGGACATTTGTTTAGGAAGACATAAACATAAACATAGGTTATAAAATATGTCTGTGATTTCGCCTGGCATTCTGGTAATGACACATTTATATTCTTGAAACATATTTCTAGGTTTTGAAACATGTCGAGTATATAAATCATGTATCTAGTATTTGACATGTGTCCAGTTTTTGAAACATACACTAGCATCTGGCATGTCCAGTATTAGATATTATGTATTCCGTACATGACCAGTTATTCGACACTCTGGTGTTTCAGACACGACTCCACACGCGCCCTACAACGTCACCGTGTTGACGGACCTGTTCTCCGCACGGGTCTCCTGGGAACCAGCCTACGATGGAGGAAGCCCACAAACATACATATTATGGTAATTACAAAGATCACCTCGTGAGTGAGTTTGGTTTTACGCCATTTTAGCAATATTCCAGTAATATCACGGCGGGGGACACCAGAAATGGGCTTCACACGTTGTACCCATCTGGGGAAGCACAATGTTTCAGAGTATATTCTTACGTCTTCATCAGTTGTAAGAAAATACTCCAAAACGTCATGCTCCTGATAATACAGAGACCTGTGAAGATCCGAGTTAGAATTGATCTTCAGTAACCCATGCTTGTCGTAAGAGGCTACTAACGGGATTGGGTGGTCAGGCTCGCTGACTCGGTTGACACATGTCATCGGTTCCCAATTGTGCAGATCGATACTCATGCTGTTGATCACTGGATTGTCTGGTCCAGGCTCAATTATTTACAGACCGCCGCCATATAGCTGGAATATTGCTGAATGTTGCGTAAAACTAAACTCACTCACTCACAATACAGAAGCTGACATTCATAAATTTTCATCTTTATAATATTTTAGTGATGAGTGATGAGGGGACAGTGACCCATGTTTGTCAGTAGATCTGTGGGCAGGCTCCAGCACTGTTTCCAGAACATCCTTTTACAAATGTCTGCACTCAGATACAACAGACGGCCACAGGACTTCCTAGAGGATACAGCAGTGGTGAGACCCTGCGTCTGCGTCAACGTCCTGTCTCGACAGATTCCACGATAGATGACTGGCAGTCCACGAAAACCAAAACCTGAAAATGCAAACAGCATTACAGCATCAGGAAAAAAACATCTTCCCTGGAAAAGTCCTGTTCCATGGTTCAATCTTTTTCTTTCATCTGATTTCATATGTTCGTGTGTCAACTGCTCCATGTGGTTTACAAAACATTTGTCTGTTTTAGGTTTCGTGTCGGGGCTGAAGACAGCACAAACTGGGAGACGATGCGAGTACCTCAGGGGTCAACGACCTTCACCTTGTATACACTGATGCCCAACACGATGTATGAGTTCATGGTGCTGTCCCGGAATGAGTACGGTGACGGAATGTACAGTAAAAGAGTCCTCGCAAAGACACGAGGTAAACTTCCGCTCCGTTGTCCACGGGGATTATGGGTAAATCGCATGAGACCCATAAAGGTCAGCTCTTTCTAGCGTGTCAATCAATTGAGATAAAGTATGCAAATTTGAAACACCCACAGATTATAACTTAATGTGATTTCAATTCAATAAAAACTCGCCATTGGAATAGAAACCTGTTTGACATCAGACTACATCTGGGCTTCAGAGATGATGGATTGTCTGAGATCATGCAAGTTTTGAGATAAACAATGAGTAAGATTTACTCGCGACTTGGAGACACTAGAAAGAGCAGCCTTCATATAGGAACTTAGGATACAGCTTCATAGAGGAAATGAAATTGAAAATGAGTAAATACAAGTAAAGACCGATGCAAATTCCTCATTTTCAGTTTCAGTCATCATTCATACCCAAATAATAAACCGCCCTCCCCTCCTACCTGCCCACCTTTGCATATTTGAGACACTCACTCCAACTCAGCCGAACAGCTACTTCCATGCCTGACAATGATTGTCTCCCTTGAATCCCTAGCCAGTTTAAAGTGACACTGTCTGTTATGTTAAGATTTTTCGGTATGCATCTATGCATCTTCTGAAAGCTGCTTTTAATAACTGATATATTATTTTGCTGAAAATTTGTAAAAAATTAAGAGGTTTCCAAAATCAGCTGACATGTAGATTGGAACTTTGAGGTAATGCTTCAAATTTTTGATTATCGTGACTGTCACTTTAATATGTAGTTTCTACAGATAACGAGGCCCGACATATGAATGCTTAAAACCACTGTTGTACTGTACCCCTCCTAAATTGAGTGCTTTATACCGTAGTTGATTAGTTAAGGACTGTTTCATTTCGGAGCCTGTTTTTACAATAATTTTTGCAATGTTAGAATTCAGCTTTAGATTCTCTATCTATTCAGTCCTGTTTATACTTTTGTTAAACAGGTGTTTCACTTAATTAACTTTATGAAAATTTGTGATATAATATGACATGTTTGTTTCAGGAGTTCAAGCTAATTGCTAATCGTTATTGAGACGGTTAAGTTATCTCCCTTTCGTTCTCATCAATAATATCATCGATCATTTTGTGTTTATGTTCAAAGTTTGTATTTGTTTTTGATGAGAGTTTATGTTTTTAAAGAAATTTCTGACAGGGTTATTTGGTTGTATTGATTTTCTGGGAAGGACAAATATGTTAAAGTTTTGAAGGTAATGTTGTGGAAATGTTTGAATCTGGTTTCCAAGTTGTTTGCAATATGTTTGACATCCTTCAAAAACTTTTTATTGTTCTTCCTGTCATGTATCTTTATATGCCACTAATTACAGTTTTCTTTGCCTACTAACAAACTCACCTCCTAACAAAACTACACTTGCTTTACACAAATCTTGCAGCCTGCCGTTATTCTGTTATCTGTTTCAAATTTTCGTTCACATGTTCGTTTCGAACATGTTGGTGACAGACAAACTATTCGGTATATTGTGAAACAGATATATCCAATCAAATAATGCGATAATGTATAAATGCTTATTTGTCAGGGTTAAGTATGTTACGCGATTATGACTCCACGTTAACTTTGCCCCCCCCCAAATCTTGGAGAAGTTAGATACCTAACTACCAACAAATCAGCGGTTTAGTCAACTAGAGAGGAGTGGGGATATTTTCATGGCCGAGCACGTTTATAAATACTCCCCTCTTCATTTGTCTCATATTCTTTTCTCTTTGTTATCAAGATCATAAGGTGCTTTTCATCTTTTTCCGTTTAAATCCATGATCCTTTGTTTGTGTTTCCTGGTTCCGTCGACAATTCTGCAATAATATGCATATTTACATCAGAAAGGATCAGAAAGAAATTTTTGCGGTATTTGTAAAGGAAAAAGACAGGAAGATACTAGCTTTGGGTAGGTGTCAAGAATACACGAATACATATTGACAGTAACATTTGTCTCACATGAGGATCTATTTTGTCATTGTAAAATATAAACACCAGTAATACAATGCAAAACTGATGAGAAATTCAAAGCCTGGTTTCAAATTAATGTTAGAAAAGTCCAACAAGAATGACATGTTCACACAAACTGTGTTTGATATGGCTGTTGAAATTCTGCAGACAAAATTCTGATAAAAAAAACCATTTTGATCAAACATTTTGATCAAACGCATTTGATCAAGTACATTACAAACACATTTTGATCAAAAACATTCTGATCAAACACATTCCTGCCAAACAAATTCAAATCAAGCACATTCTGATAAAATACATTCCAGTCAAACAAATTCAAATCAAACACATTCCAATGAAACACGTTCCAGTCAAAAAATTCCGATCAAACAGATTTCGATCAAACACATTCCCAGTGAGCCACTGAAGCCAACAGGACCGTGAAGTTTGCGGAAGACAGTAGGGGTAGTGTGAGTCGGTAGATACGCTTGTTATAACCCGACTAACTACTGGTTTATTCCAGGGAATGAGACGGAACCTGAACCAACCACAGTAAAGATTACGGGTACAACTCTCGGCAGCACTAGAACACAGCTATAGTTAAAACCATGTCCTTAGAAACCTGCGCCTGTCTTAAACACGTCCATGATGTACTCAAATGCCTTTTGCCGGGGGTTTATTTGAGATGAATTCATGAAATTTCTTCACAGGAGCAGCACCATGATGGGTTTAAGTCCTGTGTGAGGTTTTTAAAGATGTGGTCAACACTATAGTATGTCAGTCAGTCTTTTTATTGCTTTTCATGGTCTTTTCAAACAGCCAGCTCTCAACTGGAGTTAACTGGATGGATCTGGTTGTAGCATGATGAGCCAGATTGAGCTGGTTTGGACTGCATAATTCCAGATTCATCCAGTTCATATGACACAGAGCTTGTATATTTACAAACTTTTGCATGCAAGAAGTTTGTTGTTACTGTATATGAAATTCTTAGACATGCATCGTGTTGCATCATTCTGTAGATGGACTAGCACCAATGTGCATCGTGATGCATTTGACAATCTCTGCACGTTCTGCATGTTTAAGATTCATTTTGTGACCTACGCTTCATTGTCCATTTTCCAGACGTCTGCATGCAGCATGCTGGCATTATTCCTGCCAATTCCAACTTTTAGCATCACCTGTGCTTGTGATATCACGGAACTATGAATGACATGCACCTGCACTCTACTGGTGATATCTTGTGATATCCGTCACGTTGACGTCTGCTCGAGACTGTATCGGCACAAATTTTGGATTGTGAATTGTCATTTATCGTTGTACATTAGGTATCTCTTTGCCTCATAAATAGCTGGTATGACATATGAATGTATTTTGATGAGATGTTGAGCATTTTCAGTCCATGATATGTCTATATATATACATATATGCATTTATGCATTTTGGTATCCAGTTTTTATGCTACTTCCTTATATTCTCTGCAATGCTTACTTTCATTTTTATTCAGAAACTAGATGAAAATATATTTTAATTTAATTTGCTGGTCAAGAATTGTTGAAAGATAAAGAATAGTTATAGATACTGCAGAATACTAAGTACTGTATATCATTTCAACTCTAAAGTACTTCTGTTATGCGAGTATGAGATAGAATTGGCCGTGAGATAGTTTACGAGTAATGACTGAGGAGCAATTTGTTGTCATCTTCCATCTCTAGCACAGATAGGTGGGTGCTCATTTATTGCCCCGGGTGAACCTGTCCACAAAGGTACAGGCCATACAAAATATGTTATTATCTGCTGAAAAAAGTTCATGAACAGTTAGTGGATGTTTTTATAAAATTTGTGCTCCCTGCATAAAAACATTCTTGAAATATTTCATGAAGTTGTTTTGGTTCAATTAAAAACAGTAGAGCTTCGAGACATGAGCCAATGAGCAAGTGCGAGTCTTTATGCCACTTTAGCAGTATTCCAGCCATATCTAGGCGTGGGACACCAGAAATGGGCTTCACACATTGTACCCACATTGAGAATCAAACCAGAGTCTTTGGCGTGACGAGAGAATGCTTTAACCATGAGCCAATGAGCTACCATATATAGGGAGAAGTTCTGGATAAATAACCAATGGGCTCCCATATATAGACATAGATTTAAAACAAATGAGCTCCCATATATAGACAAACATTTTGGGATATGAGCTAATTATCTCCCATATATAGACATAGATTTAAAACAAATGAGCTCCCATATATAGACAAACATTTTGGGATATGAGCTAAGTATCTCCCATATATAGACATAGATTTAAAACAAATGAGCTCCCATATATAGACAAACATTTTGGGATATGAGCTAATTATCTCCCATATATAGACATAGATTTAAAACAAATGAGCTCCCATATATAGACAAACATTTTGGGATATGAGCTAAGTATCTCCCATATATAGACATAGATTTAAAACAAATGAGCTCCCATATATAGACAAACATTTTGGGATATGAGCTAATTATCTCCCATATATAGACATAGATTTAAAACAAATGAGCTCCCATATATAGACAAACATTTTGGGATATGAGCTAAGTATCTCCCATATATAGACATAGATTTAAAACAAATGAGCTCCCATATATAGACAAACATTTTGGGATATGAGCTAATTATCTCCCATATATAAACATAGATTTGAAACAAATGAGCTCCCATATATAGACATAGTTTGGGGTATGAGGTTGTTAGCTCCCATATATAGACATAGATTCAGAACCAATGAGCTTTCATATATAGACAAACATTTTGGGATATGAGCTAATTATCTCCCTTACACAGACAAAGATTACACAACCAATTAGCTTTTATATATGGGTATGGGGTACGATTAATTGAATTGCGACCATATCATGATAGGCATAAGTTTGAGACATGGACCAATGAGATGCTGTATAAATAAGCTTCAATTGAGGACTTGAGCCAATGAAAACGCTCGACATCTCTGCTCTGCAGACCATACCAGTTGTTAACGAAAAAAGAGACATACTCTTAAATGACAGTACACAGTCTCAGGGTAAGGTCTGTGTGTTAACGGTAACTGATCACGTGAGCACTCCACTAACCTCTGACCTCACTCATTAACTACTACGTCACTCTGGACGTCTACTAACGTCACTCTGTCATCCACTATGAGATTCTGTTGGACTGTGATTATCACTAGGCAACCCATCAGCTTGTACAGGACCAGGCAGCCATTGAGATCAACCCAGTTTGGATCCCATATAATCGGAGTTTTGTCTTCTGTTCGCTTTCAGGGTTTCACATGGACTTGGTAACGGCTTTACCAACAGATGGGTATGGATCAACGTATATACCAGATATAAAAGAATCTATCGGTAAGTTGCAATCATTATTAATGATTGTCTGTATGAAAATCGTGTAATTGATAATATTGTTCATGAACTATTTTTATATTTACACGAAGTCAGGTCTTTATTCATGGGCTGCTCCTACAGTATGTTCAGGATGGCGTTTGTTGGTAATCCAAACCAACATATATCACCGCTCACCACTGATGTGAAATGTGATTTCTTTCAATTTTTTTAGTCATTTTTGCTCAAAGTTACCCTCTTACATTTATTGATAATTGATCGATGTTCATTTAACGATGATTGGTCTCTATCATCTATTTCCCTAATGTGTATATGACCCCAGTTTATTTTTATTACAACTGAAGATTTTGAGTCACATGTATGTCACCAAAAACTTTGATTGCCCTCCTATTCAACCTCTGGGTTGCCTGGCAACAGTATAATTCAAAGGCAGTGCTGAAACAGTTGCAGTATTGCCGACTGCGTTGTGAAAAAATGTGTGAGTGAGTGAGTAATATTCCAGCTATATGGCGGCGGTCTGTAAATAATCGAATCTGGACCATGTTACATTAACTTTGGACATGTTACATTAAAGGTCACATAAACCCTAGGGGGTACAAATACATAAATCACTAACTGGCATCGTTATAAATGAAACCCCGTCATTAAAACTACTCATTTCGACCTTTAATTGACTTAAATCGACCTTTTTGACAACAGTGCACAATTCTCACCCGCGAACGAAATTTCAACCAATCAGAGCGGGGCGCCTCTGTGACGTCATATGAGGAATAGCTTTGAGAGCCGATGCAGAATTCATCTACATTTTAGGGGTTAAATTATCTTGTTTACAGGCTTGTATAAACCTGAAATCGTGACAATTGTTGTGGAAAATGAAAGCTATATGTTCTCACAATCTACTGTCATTTAATTTTCTCTCCTGCTTTGCCTAGTTTCCGAAGTTACAACTTGTTTTCATAGACGATTCTGTCAAAATCGATTGGTGTCGTTAGGCCCTATTTGTATAATAACTGATCCAAATTGATCCCATTTCTGTGTTGTTTTACCTCGATATTTAATCATGTCATGTAAAAATCTGTTTGTATTCTCAAAACAGTGTCGGCCCATAAGTTTTCACATGCAATACAGCAATTAATACTCCCTCGTTGTAACCCGTGTTAGGTGGTATAAACCTACACATGTTATTTGTCATCATTCACTTGATGGTCAGTTAATGAATTTATAACAGGTATAATTAGTGGTAACACACTTAGATTACCCGACAAAGGTTCCCATTTGGCATTTCTTGTGTCTGGAGTAAATATTCAACATTATAAACATCGATTGATTAATTACTTTTATCTTACACAGCGGAATTGTCAAAAGGTAGTGTTTATGTATGTAGATTTACTAATCTATACTGAATACACTCTGTCGTGTCGGTGTCTGCGTAAAAACAACGTCCTTCTTTCAAGGGATTAACCGGCAATACATTGATTGATTGCCAATTATTGGCTAACTAAATTACTGTTTTTAAAGAAAGGCGGACATTATGCAATTAGTTGCCAGGTGTGCTATCTTGGGTGACCAATGAGACTATACACCAATACCTGAAAAGATTTATCACTTTTTCGTATATTAAACTGTTAAAAGACACATCATTTGGAACAGTTTTGTGGATATTGATGGATACATTCCTCGAACAAGGTAATGGCCTGATATTGTTCCTATAACTTTAATCTGTTTTAATTTTAATATTTGCATTTTGTTTTTATTCATTTGTCGTAGCATTCAACAGAATCATTGTTTTCGCCGTGAAGTGTAATGAGACAGACAACATGCACTAGGGGTGTGTGTGCGAATTATGATTCACATTGGCAAACTATAAAATGTCTAGATATTACAGTTGTGTTATAAATTCACTATAAGTATCAGCAGATCGTCTGCTTTTATTTAGTTTCAAAATGCATACAAGTGTGATAATAAACTAATTAGGATTATAAGACAGAATATAAAGCGCACATTACTGACTAGTATCTACATACTGGTGAGTGGACATTAACCATGGGAATGTAGCAAGAAATTTATCGCGCAGTATTGTCACTTCGACCCCCACCTCGCTTCCGTGGAAGAAATCGTTATGTTATAAGTTGTGTCATGCAAAATCCGTTTGGTTATGATTCCAATACATATTTAACAACGAGTAGAAAGTAGTCTTGATTTTCAAACTTGATGAAAACAAACTATAATCTCATTCATTCTAACAGATTTTTTTATTTTTAAAAATGGCGGCCTGTCGGGAACATCCGCCAGTCTGAGGATAAATGGTATTTAGGTTTGTTTTCACCGAAGTTCTAAAATCAAAACTACTTTCTACTGGTAGTAAATATGTATTTTATTGATGGCCAATAGGATTTTGCATGACACATGCGATATCATAACAATTTCTCTCGTGGCAGCGCAGGTGGGTGTCAATATAATACTACTTACAATATTATTGTTACGACCACAACCTCACTTCCCGAGGAAGAAATCGTTATGTTACAAGTTGTGTCATAGAAAATCTTTATGGTCATCAATCATATGCATGTTTTACTACAACTAGTAAGTAGTTTTGATTCTTTAACTTCCGTGAAGCGATCTGAACACAAGTAAGATATCGTTTCAGGCTTCCACAAGGCTCGCGCTTCGCACTCACAAACATAACCTATTTAGCACGAACTGCGAGGTCCTGTGGAAATCTGTGCATGGGGACACCATCCCCGACCCCTAGAGCAATTGATCGACAAAGCAACGATTCGGCATGTCGTCGTTGATGTCGAAATCATCAAAATGATGAGCGTGCTACACATTTTCTATACAACTAACTGAAAATCGTTCCTCATATGACGTCACTGCAGTGCTCTGGCGACAGAGTTACGTAACCTGTCTGTGGTTTCCTCGTTGGCGGGCGAGAGGGAAGCAGGCGACTTTTTGGCCACTTTTAATCGCTCGGTATTAATTAACCACAAGTTTTTAAAGAATAAATTTGGTGTTCCGCATAAGACTAACCACAAATCTTTCATATGTAATGGTTAAAAGAGTAACAAAAAACAAAGTTTAGTGGTTCTTTAAAGAGGCCCTTAATTTGTTAATAATACCCTCCAAAGTCCCTATATTTAGCAACACTTGTCAAATTATGATTTACAGGAAACTAATACACAATAAAACTATCTTGCAATAACAGTGGGTGTTAATCTGCATTGTGAAGCAAATGTTTCCCAGTGCAGCGATGTAACTAAGACTTATTTCCCTCCGATGGTTGGGCCCACGTTTGACCAACCTTGTGTATATGTAGCTACTTGTGTGTTATATGTGTTTCTGTAGTAACCTAAAATTGTTGATTGGTTCTTGAAAGCCATTGAAGACCTGTGAAGAACCGGGTTAGAATGTATCTTCAGTAACCCATGCTTGTTGTAAGAGGCGACTAACGGGATCATGTGGTCAGGCTCGCTGGCTTGGTTGACGCATGTCATCGGTTCCCACTTGTGCAGATCGATGCTCATGCAGTTGATCACTGGATTGTCTGGTCCAACCTTGATTATTTACAGACTGCTTCCATATACTAGTATCTGGAATTTTGCCGAGTGCGGCGTAAAACTAAACACACTCACTCTCTGAAAGCCATTGAAAGCCATTAAATTTTATGTGTGATAATCTGTACAAACCCTGTTTCAGGTCCGTCACCAAGTCCCCCGCAGAATGTCACAGCAAGCGTCACTGAAGGTGGAATACTGGTGTCATGGCAACATCCTCACAACACGTCCGTTCCAATATTTTCTTACACTGTCCTCTTTAGGAGGGACGGGCGTTGGACGTGCTACAATACATTCTCATTAGCAGATGCTCCGCCTATCCTCATGAAGGAAATGGCGCCAGGCACCGCGTATCAGATACGGGTGATATCTAATGGCGTGTTAGCAATGAGTGAACCAAGCAATATTGTTACCGTGACAACCAAATCAGGTGAGACATTCTTCTAAATCTGTTTTGTTTATAACTGGCATGTGAATTTGAAAAATACATTTACATCATTTTCAGGCATTAATTGTGTCGGTTTTATTCATACGTGCCCCAAGTATCAGGTAAGTTTGGAGTAGCCTAGTGATGAAAGCGTTTGCTTCGGCCAAAGACCATGGTTTGATTCTAGGGGTGTCGCGATACGCGAATGTATCGATGCATCGATACATTTTTACTGACGATACGATCCGCGATACATGCTTGCGTGTATCGATTCCTATTTTAAAACTTTATCGATTCAAATTTTATGCTATATCCATCTCCGTCAAAGTCTTGATAGTAAAATTACACAAGACCGCTCCGATAAATAGATGTAGCTAGCTTTACTTAAAAAATAGGTTGGAAACTAACAGCTTTTGTGATTGGCTAGACTATTTTGATGGACCAATCAGCGAGCGCGTACGTTGCCGGTAAGGTAATGCTATGAAAAGGCGCGAAAATTATGTATCACGATACGTATCGTATCGTGACCTTAAAATCGTTTTACCCACATGGGTAAAATGTGTGAAGCTCATTTCTGGTGTCGCCCTCCATGATGTTGATGGAATATTGCTAAAAACTGGGTAAAACCAACCTCACTCATAATTTCACCTCCTGATGGAACCTAACAGGTCTTTATGGCAGGAGCTTGGAGAAGGGAATGGCGCTCAGAAATATTCAGTGTTGCTCGATGTCAGGCCCAACCAAGTCTTTGGAATTTGTGCTAATATGTCTTCAGAATCCTGAACCTCGGTTACTCCAGTGGTTAAGGCATTCAGTCGTCACATAGAAAGTCCAGGATTGAATCTCATATTAATAATAATAATAATAATGATAATAATAATAATTAATTTGTATAGCGCCTATATTCCAACTTTGAGCTGCTCAATGGCGCTGAACAGGGTAGATAATTTACATATCATATGCTTGATTGGGTGTTACTGAGTATAAACTAAGCAATGGTGGCTACGTGGTAAGGGGAGGTGGGGTAGCCTAGTGGTTAAAGCGTTTGCTCATCACGCCAGACCAAAGTTCGATCCCCCACATGGGTACAATGTGTGAATAAGGTGAGATGGTAAATGCACGATGTCTGACATCTGTTGTCAGTTTTTGTAGCATACTTCTCATGGAGTTGAGAACAGTATTGCCACGTTTCGACCCATTGCTTACAGCATGGCTTTGTGTTAAAGTAAGTTGTAACATTGTACAATATGTCATTGATATGTTGCACACAGGAAGGTAATAAGGGTTTCAGACTATGTGTCATTAGAGTGAGCTATCGGGCCCGTAAGTAGGTCACGGCGCATTGCGAGACCTTAGTCCTCACAGTGTCAAACAACGTACACTTGCTCTAGTAAAGTCATAATTGTCGGTCTCGCAATTTGAAACCAGAACTGATTCTTGAATATACGCTTGTCACCGAAAATCTGGTACCAGAAGTAAGCCCCATGTCGCATATCGCGCATAGGGACCTGGGAACCAGCTTAATACCGGAAGTAAGCCCCATGTCGCATATCGCGCATAGGGACCTGGGAACCAGCTTAATACCGGAAGTAAGCCCCATGTCGCATATCGCGCATAGGGACCTGGGAACCAGCTTAATACCGGAAGTAAGCCCCATGTCGCATATCGCGCATGGGGACCTGGGAACCAGCTTAATACCGGAAGTAGCACCTTGCGAAACTTACAGGCCCTATAGTATTTCATTGATTGAAATTTACTGACAGGCATGATCTGGCGATGTGAAACATGCCTGTCATTATCTATGTTTATTTCCTACGTGGGCGAACATATCGGGGTTCATATTTTTCATACGATGCCCTTGGGCAAAATATCACTTTGTCATGGTGACAACAATGCTATGACGTCACGTTTCTTCTGTGACGTTGCGTTCTACATGCGGCGACGTCAGATAGCCAGCCTATGTTTGAAAGTAGATTTAGGTTTGTTTTCCTCAATTTGACGACTTTGGTAATAAACAGAATATTATATGAGTGCCCATATCATACTATGTTTATGACACTCATGCCTAAATATCGGCACATCCCTCGCTGAGTAAATACCAACATTTAGGCACTTGTGTTATAAACATAGTATGACATGGGCACTTATATAATATCCTCTATATCTGTAGCCTGTGATGGATGTTGCTGAATAACAGCATGAAAATCTAATCATGCATTTTGTGCCAGAGCCAAATACATGTGGATAGTGATTACTAACAGTGCATATTTCACCGTCTCTTCTCAAGCTGTCCGAAGGTCTTCCTCCAACAGTGCATCATCTGGTATATAATAGAATCCTCCCTTGTGCTTGTCTGTAGGCTAACATGTGTTACAAGGCACAATGTTACAGTGTTACAGTGTAGTTACACATAGGCACAATGTTATTAGTCAGTTCCTACTGGGGTAATGAGCATAAGCAGTATATACAGGCTTACCTTTCAGGAAGTAACATGCAGAGTTGTCTCCCCTTGCTGTGCCAGGATCAGGTCATGGGTTCAAACTTTTCGATATCCTCACTAATTCTGCTCATGCATTGTCACTAGCATTATAAAAGTCCACAAATGAGACACTTAGCTGAGTGGTTAAGGTGTTTGCTCGTCGTACGGAAGACCAGGGTTCGATTCCCCAAGTGGCTACAATGTGTGAAGCCCATTTCTGGTGTCCCCCAATGTGGAATATTGCTGAAGGTGATATAATACCTGACTGACAAGTGTAGGAAATGTAGCATTTAGTTACACTATTGAAGAAGAGAAGACTGAATAGCTCAGCTTATTTCCTTCACTAGGACAGACAATGACAGTGTGCCTTTATTACACCTTGACAGTGTCTGTTATGTTGATGAGTTTGTTTTGTTTGCTAAACATGTTAGACCTGACTATTTGTTGTCTGCCATGTCCCCATATGTGTGTCACAGATTAGTTTAGTCAGTACCCGTGAATGTCCGGGTTAGAATGCGCCTTCAGTAACCCATGCTTGTCGTAAGAGGCGACTAATGGGATCGGGTGGTCAGGCTCGTTGGCTTAGTTGACACATGGCATTGGTTCCCAATTGCGCAGATCGATGCTCATGCTGTTGATCACTGGATTGTCTGGCCCAGACTTGATTATTTACAGACCGCTGCCATGTAGCTGGAATATTGCTGAGTGCGGCGTAAAACTAAACTCACTCACAAAATTGATCTTCTTGTTGCCCTGCCTGGTTCTGGTCAGTTTGAAGTCCAGTTTGTGTCTGAGTGGAATGTATTTGTTAAACTTCAGGGTGGTATATAAATCAGTCAGCTAGCATTATGAAAGCAGCATTAGTCTTGGCTGACACAGATAAACACAACATGCACACACATACACAGAGACAGACACACACACACACACACAGAAAGACAAACCCACTGGCAGACACACATACACAGAGACAGACACACACACACACACACACACACACAGACAAACCCACTGGCAGACACACATACACAGAGACAGACACACACACACACAGACAAACCCACTGGCAGACACACATACACAGAGACAGACTCACGCACACAGAGAAAGACAAACCCACTGGCAGACACACATACACAGACATATTCACGGACCAACATACACAGACTGACACACACATCTAGTGATAACCGTGAATGCAACGTTAACCCTTTTCACCTCTTCTAATAAGTGTTTAGTTAAGTGACATGTTTCCCTTGCTTAAAGTGTCCACCTGGTTTGTAAGATGTCTGTTAATATGGTTTTTAGTGTAAATACTGTCTCTAACTGTGGGGGCTCTGATGCTTGAATGATGCTACAATTTGCTTGCATCAACAACCATGCTTCAAGGTGCCATAGGTGCCATAATTTGCTTCAAGGTGCCATAATTTGCTGGCAGATTTTTGTACCTTGAGCACAGCAGAAACCCAGATTGTGGGTTTGAATCCTGGCTCGATGTGTTTCTAGGTTGTCAGCATGAAACCCATGTTCATTAGTTTCACAGCTGATGATTGACCAGCTTCCCTAGCGATCAGACTTAGAAATTCACCCTCGTCGACTAGCCTGAGACTACCACACTGAACAGCAGTGAGGATTGATGAAATATGGTCATTCTCATTCATCAAAGGTCGAATAATTGTAACAATTTCTAAATTTTTCTGCAAACAGGAATTGAATAAAACTGACAGAAAATGAAAACATTGTAAACATTTGGTCTTGTTGAAGTGGAGGGTAATGTCCAAGTAACTCTCCATTCCTTAAACATAATGGAGTCGAGATAACTTAAGCAGAACTTGTTACAAACTTTTTTTCACAAGTCTAGTCATGAAAAACTGAATTTCTAACTCTGATCTTGATGTTCGTGTATCAGCATGTTATTATTGTTTGAATGTCCTGGGAGTGAGTGTGTGTACGATGATAACCTAGCTGCGGCTACTGCAAGTCCATCCCTGGAACTACAACACTCCCAGCATTCACCTGTGTAAAGCAGGGCCCCCAAGTATTACGACCCAGGTCAGAATTGGTCCTCAGCAACCCATGCTTGTCGTAAGAGGCGACTAACAGGATCGGGTGGTCAGGCTGGCTGACTTGGTTGACACATGTCATCGTATCCCAATTGCATTGATCGATGCTCATGCTGTTGATCACTGGATTGTCTGGTCCTGACTTGATTATATAGCCACTGCCATATAGCTGGAATATTGCTGAGTGAGGTGTTGAACAACAAACAGTAATGACAAATTTTATGGATAACTTCTTTGCCATGTTTAGATAGATTCTTGTACCATTGTCCTGCATGTTTTCAATAAAATTTGTCATTATTGTACTTCCCAACTTCTAAAAATCACTCAAGTAAGTTCCCTACATCTTAGTTTTGAAATATTTTTCAAGTTCCTTATGGTTGCGTTGATGTTTCAGAGTCGCTTACTCTACCGGACGCTCTGATTGGTGGAATTATTGGAGGGCTGCTGTTTCTGCTGGTGGCCATATTGCTAGCCGTTATAGCCGTCATTCATAGTAGGAAGAAGGAGCAGAAAACTAAAGCAAATAATAGATTCAGTGAGTATTCCCTCCTACAGGGACCTGTGACATTCTGGTATAGATCCTTATACTGGTGGTAAGTCCCAAAATATTCAAGGTAAATCTGACTGCCTCCGTGGTTTAGTGCTTAGAGCGTCCGCCTGGAGTGCGGAAGGTCGCGGGTTCGATCCCCGACCGCGTTATACCAAAAGACGTTAAAATATGGTACTTGTTGGTCCCTGCCTGGCGCTCGGCATTAATGGGTACAACAAGGACTGGTAGGCTCAGAGTCAGTGTAATGTGTCTGAGTGGGGTATTCATGCTTCACTGCGGCATGGTATCTCAGTGGGCTAGCACTATAAAACCAGCTTCAGTCTGGGCTAGTACACGCAGCCGCACATACACATACACACGCATGCACGTCGTCATATGAGCGAAATATTCTCAAGCACGACGTTAAACCCAATTTCACCTCACCTTATGCTGTTGGTAAGTCCCAAAACATTCAAGGTAAATCTATACTTACCAGATTTTTTAAACGTAGTATTTTTGTATTAATGTTAAATTATAGCTAGATTGACTACAATCGCCAGCGGCTGAAGGGATGGTGTAAATCCAGCTAGGGTCCATGTAGGTAGCAAAGGTACTGTAAGTCCCCATGGTCCCAAGTATGGTGATCTACCTTCAGTTGCTGGCGATCTATAGCCCAATTTGACATTGTATTGTCGACCTGTGAAGATCCGGGTTAGAATATGTCTTCAGTAACCCATGCTTGTCGTAAGAGGCAACTAAAGATACCGGGTGGTCAGACTCGCTGACTTGGTTGACACATGTCATCGGTTCCCAATTGGGCAGATCGATGTTCATGATGTTGATCACTGGATTGTCAACCATATAGCTGGAATATTGCTGAGTGTGGCATAAAACTAAACTCACTCACGCATTGTATTGTCCACAAATAGTTTTCTAATTTTAAAGATATATGCTAGCTAATTTTGACTCATATTGTGATAATCTAGTAATTTTACTGTCCTTGTTGACAGGGTTTTATATATTATATGTATGTATTATGAATTTAGAACTAGTTTTAGTCACGATATGGCTGAAACATTGCCGATGTGACTTTTAATCTTAACTCATTCATTCACCTTATACTGTTGTCTTGATCATGAGACCGCCTCCGTGGTGTAATGGTTAGAGCGTCCGCCCGGAGAGCGGAAGGTCGCTGGTTCGATCCCCGACCGCGTTATACCAAAAGACGTTAAAATATGGTACTTGTATGTCCCTGTCTGGCGTTCGGCATTAATGGGTACAACAAGGACTGGTCGGCTCGGAGTCAGTATAATGTGTCTGAGTGGGGTATTCATGCTTCACTGCGGCATAGTATCTCAGTGGGCTAGCACTATAAAACCAGCTTCAGTCTGGGCTAGTACAAGCAGCCGCACATACACATACACATGCATGCACGTCGTCATATGAGCGAAATATTCTCAAGCACGACGTAAAACCCAATTTCACCTCACCTCACCTTGATCACGAACTTGGTGCAGAATTACATATGGTCAGTGATGGAGCAGTAACCGTAAAATATCTCAAATGTGGTCTGTTTTGTCTTCCGCAACTTGTTAGAAATATCCATCAAACATTTCATTTTGCACTAAACCATTTACTTTTTTTTTCCTTTTCAGCTGATGTAAATTATTCTAAGCCGGAAGATACCGATAGTAGACAGTGAGTATATGTTTGCAGTCATCATTAATACATGCAACAGATACACAATAATAATGATAATAATAATATCTAATGTCAGCTGTTATTTCCCAAGACCATAGGGTAATGATTAAGAAGGCACAGTCACTTTGAGACATTACTTTTAACCGAGTTCTCTGACATGGTTGCATCAGGATCTGCTGATTGTAGGTTCAAAACAAGATTTGGTCTGATGTTGATGTTTGTTTTTTCGGCACCGTACATCAACAGATGGGGTTCACCAGGTGAACATTCCCAGATTGTGTCACTCCAAGATTCAACCCGTGAAGATATGGGTTAGAATTGGTCCTCAGCAACCCAGGCTTGTCGTAAGAGGCGACTAACAGGATCGGTCGGTCAGGCTTGCTGTCTTGGTTGACACATGTCATCGGTTCCCAATTGCGTAGATTGATGCTCATGCTGTTCATCACTGGATTGTCTGGTCCAGATCGGATTATTTACAGACTGCTGCCATATATCTGGAATATTGCTGAGTACGGTGTAAAACTCAGTTAAATCTGCCATATTTCAACTTGCCAGTACATTGTGAAGTTGAGGCGTCTGATGAGTTTGGGTTTGAATCCATGACTTCCGATGCTTGGTTCATAAGCACCATGGTTATTACCAAAGTGGATAAGGGTCTCATTTCACAAAGTGATTGTTTTAAGTGTTTGTCAAAGTATGACAGTTACCATAACGATCAGGATCAGGACCTTGGTCTGCACCCCACATCTGACCCTCCTTCCACTCCCAGTGTGGGGTGGTGGGGTAGCCCAGAGGTTAAAGCATTCACTCGTCACGCTGAAGACCCAGGTTCGATTCCCCACATGGGTACAATGTGTGAGCCCATTTCTGGTGTCCCCTCCGTGATATTTGCTTGAATGTTGCTAAAAGTGGCGTAAAACCATCTTCACTCACTCACTCCACTCCCAGTGCTGTGATGTGAATTTTTATTCTTCGATATAAGTCACACAACATTCTCTCTGTAATGTTACAATTACCTTTGTGGTACAGGTACCCAGTCCACAGAGCGTCTTATCACTACAATATCTGAACGTAAGACCCTTGGGTACCTAAGACCCCAGTCTACCCCTTGCATCTGACTTTCCTTCCAGAATATCTCCAATGTGACAGCACCCTCTGTTGCAATTACCTAGTGCTTTGATCAAACTGTGGAGGTGCTAAATCCACACAGCTTTCTTAGCTACATGATGCGTGTAGTTACAAACGCTTTGTGGGCACCCTGGACCCTAGTCTAGTCTTAAGAGAACACACACATCCGATGGTATAGTATCGTGCAGTATCACTGGACAAAATACTGTGACTATGTGTCCCAGTCCAACCAGCTGCAAATGGGTACCTGTGAGGATGAGGCTGTGTGATGGCTCATTGCGCCTAACAGGCAGCATGAGTTGAATACTCCCCAGGGAGTTGAGTTGGTAAAAAAAAGAATGCCAGAAAAAGACATCCGTTGACCAAGGAAACACTCCAGTGCCTTGAGCATGTGCTAGTTGCGTGGATATGTGCACTATATAAATATCCTATAATAATAATAATATACTTACGCTAGGTCCTCACATTACGAATCCTTTTGTGGGAACCCTGGGCCCCGTTTCACAAAGCTCTCGTAAGCCTAAGATCTCGTAACTTTTCTCGTAGCAGTCGTATCTATGTTACAGTATAGGAGGTACGACTGCTACGAGAAAAGTTACAAGGTCTTACACTTACGAGAGCTTTGTGAAACGAGGCCCTGGACAGTAGTGGATGACCAGCATTGGACCCCTTTTCGGGACTGAGTCCCAGTTCTGTGATGTGACTGAAATATAAGTCAAAACAGCACTGCTTATATTGTGCTATATCTAGCATATAAATATGTGATGTTTCAAATAGTTTTGTAGTTACTATGGTTACAGGTTTCATGTTTGCACACATATCTGAGTAAGGACGATTCTGTGTGTGTTTTGAACTGTGGGGATATTGACTCTGTTTCTGTTTGTTCATTGCCGTCAAGGAGGAATAGAAAAGGTACGACTTCACGATGCATGGTGTTGCAATCCTAGCTTTGTTTCAGTTCTAATTCAACCCACAAACTTTACACACAATACCGATATCTTGAAGAAATGGAAAAGTTCTTTATTTGTTTATTAATATCTAAAGATACATTGATATATTGTGTTTCATTATCTTGTCAAAATACCATATTGCCAAATTCTGTAAAATGAAAAGAACCTATGTATAGGGGTGAAACGGTACGCTCTTACCATGGTACAGTACGTATTGCTGTACAAGGCCTTCGGTACCGTCCTTTTCGGTTCAGTATATGTGAACTTACTTTACTTCTGGGAAAATAGCGACCGCCCAGCTAAGAAATGCATAGATTTGGACAAAATGTTTTGATTTCTAGACATTTTAGAAAAGGTTTAAAAAGGTTAATAAAATGGCGGTACGAAAACCGAAAATACAAATTTTTTGGATTGTATTTCGGTATACGGAACCAAAGGCAAAATACCATGGTTCTGCTAATACCGTGATATAGCCTTTCACCCCTACCTATGTAATATCGGCCATACAAAAGCACAAAATTATGAAAATGTATTTTCTTAAAAAAATTTAAAACATGGCGAAACCTGTTAACAGGCTGTTTGGAACAAAGGAAGAATGTGAAAGAAATACCTTTACCTAAAAGTGTGTAAATACAATCTTTTTAGAACTGGTATTCATGTTTATGTAAATTATGTCCTGTTAAATCTTTACCATTTTCTTCATCATATCATAAAATTACTTTCAAAGATTTCTATACAAACCCCAGATATTTGTTGTATCGTGTCCCAATGTTTAGTTCTTACCTGGTTATTTAGTACTTTGGTTTTTCGGTGGTTTTTTGGGTACTGGACGTTATTTATAAACCCACTTAGTGCCCAGACAATGTACTTTCCATCTAGAATCCATCTAGTGTTTGTGCATTGACATGATCTAATGGTTACCTGTAGACTATCTGCATTATGTTGTTGGATTATTTTATTTTGTGAAATGCATGGATATGTTGAAAATGTGATAAAAAATTTAATACAAATTTGCTGATTAATTGTACTAAATATTATCACCTTCTATGTATCATATTTTTTATCATTTTTCTACACTTGTATGCAATGCACGTCAACTATGTGGAATTATTTTTTTTCAACACTTTTGCAAGTTTATCATTTTCTCTTTTTTGAATATTTCACATCTTCAAAGATATTAAATCTCTGTATTTCTCAATGTAGATATGTTATTATTTTCTAATATTCAAAAGAGTCCTTTCCAATATTTATATTGTTGTAGTGGATATATCATGGTAGTATTGGTCTGTGTGACATGATAGAGCAGGATAGTTGGAGGTGTATAACCTTTACAGGGCCCCAGTTTGTACTTACTTATTCTAAGTGCAGCAACCCTTGTAGGGCCTCGTGAGGTGACACTGTGCATGCAAGTACTCCATGCATTTAGCTGGGACACCCCAAAGATGCAATATTTCCTTGGATTTCATTGGGTTATTTTTAGTTAAATTCTTGATTTGGTTTGGGGCTGAGATATACTATTCACACTTTGCTACGGATCAAATCATGGCTTCAACAGAAAACTATCATATGGGGTCAAATTTGGTTTAAATATCTAATGCTTATTGTAAGCATGGATCCTAGGTTTCAGTATGTCATTGCATCTTGTGGATCCCATACCTGCTACTGACAGGTGTGGTGTACTTGTCAATGACTTGTTCCATGATTTGCAAAATGGTTGATTGATGCCATGAAAACAATTTTTATGGTTACTCATGTATCAAGTGCATAAGGTTAGATTAAAATGGCTGTTTGCCTAAAGAGGTGTTACCATATTATTATTTATCCATTTTTAAATGGATACAATTTCAAATTATAACTCTACGTTTAAATAAAGTTGTGATCCTTAGCAAAGTGTGAGTAGTATAGTTTCGGAAGTGGTACTTAAATAATATGTCTGTGAATGTGTGTGTGTAGTCGTACATGTGCACATGTCTATGTATGTGAGTTTAATGACAAACTAAATTGAACCTGTCCTAAAAGGGTATTGTGTTTAGCTACGCTTAGTCAGTGAATAGGGAGCCTTGTGGTTAAAGCGTCCGCTCATCACGCCGAAGACCCAGGTTCGAATCCCCACGTGGGTACAATGTGTAAAGCCCATTTCTGGTGTCCCCCGCTGTGATATTGCTGGAATATTGCTAAAAACGGCATGAATTAATACTCACTGGGGCATATAGATATACCAATGAATTTCATCCGTCCATCCAAAAACATTTTTTGTTCAGCCAATAACTTGGGTTGAATTGTTTTCAAATTTGGGGACCACCTTCTTTGCCTTAGGGGGTGGGAGGGTTTATTGCAAATTTTGATATGATATTTTAGTTCTTTTAAGATTTACAGAAAGTTAAAAATATAAAAATATGCACTTAGAAAAGTTCGTTTCACCAATAACTTTTGATTTGATTGTTTTAAAATTTGGGGATCACCTCCATATCTCTAAGAGACATGCATTTCAAAGTTATATTTTGATATTTCAAATTTATCAAGAATTATCTCTTATTACATCTCTTGAACTCGGGGGATAAAGTAAAAGATCAAATTTGTTCAATCAAACATATGGCAATCATGAAATGTTTTCAGATTTTGGTCATGGTTTCTTTGTTTATAAGAAATGTACTGTGCAAAGTTTGATACAAATCTTGTATGTTTGTCAAGAATGATTGTTTGTTGTATGGCTGAAGTTGGGAGTCACAGACGGGGGGAATGCTAACATTTTGGGGCTTGTCTAAGATTCCATGTTTTTTTTCAACTTCCTCAGTCTGTCTGTATGTTTTTCCGAGGTTGAGGCGTCTTGAGTGGTCATTCAGGAGGACGACATTGTCCAGCTAGTCTCAGAAATCTTTCGAGAATGTCGTTGGTTGTATTTTACGTCCTTCAGACAGTTCCAGTATGAGAGAAATCGTTACTTTTTGTTGTGATCAATCACCTTTCTAAAAAGTAAATATATCATTTCGCAATGCGTTTGGCTTCCATGATGTTTGTTTGAGTGTTTGTTGTTGTTTGTTTCAGTCAAACTCCGCCAAAATGGGATAGGTGGCAGCACGGTAGAGGAGGAGACACTTTGACATCTCATAATGGCAGTCAGCATGGTGTGTTTGTCCTGCCCCAAACCGCTGACCTCGACACTAAACGGGACATGCATCAGTCAGTTCTTCGAGACAGTCGACTTTACGATCGGGATCACCCCATGTACAACCCAGATTCTGGCTACCGTGTGGCACCCTCTAGTGACAGAAGTGTTCATGATTCCATGCCTATGGCTACAGTGTCTCTGTCCAGAGCTCCCAGCAGAGGAAGTCGCAGCTTGTCGCCTGGGCAACCAAGGGATGAACCTGATTGGCCAAGAACATATCCATCTTCAGTAGTTCCACATGGTGAAAGGTCTGGACACTATCCTGATTCATACCATTCACCCCAGTATCCATTAAGTTATCCCGATCCTTACCCCAAAGGTAGTCACCAAATGAGAGGCCCATCCCTCTCTCCCGTTGCCGGTGGTTACGATGGTCCATTCCAGAGTTTCGAAGATGACGATGACGTGTTCCCGATCCAGCATCGCAACAACGTGCCTTCCACCACTAGTAGACCTGGGTTTCCTCGTCACAGTTCCATGAAGCCTGCGTCCCAACAACAAACATATCTCACAGAACCAAGCCCTTCTTACGGACTGAATGACATCAGTTCTGTTCTGCCCTCCTCGTTCTCTGACCCCTCCCGTGACCCCTCCCTTATGAGGTATCCTTATGACCCCTATGACCCTTCGTTCAAGAGCATGTCCTCCCAGCCCGAGCGCCGAGCTCCTCGATACCCACGAGATTCTTCACCTTGGGATGATTCATCAAGACATTCATCAGGACCTCGCAGTCGACCAAGAAGCAGAGAAGGCTCGTACAACATTCCAAAAGAAACCAGAGAATATTCTCCAAACCGAGATAAACAAATTGCAAGGGTCCTACCCTCGAAGCCAGATGAGAACAACAGCAGTAACGGCAGCAGCAATGGGCGACCGATGGGCTACACCAGGGAACAGCTCCAGGGTGTTGTCGACCGTGTCAGGCAGACGTCGCGACCAGTTTCCACTGAGAACATCAACGATGATAATGGCTTCCTGGATGTATCATCGGTATCTCGACCACGAAGCTCATCGCAGTACGACCCTCAGCCTCATTTGGACAGAAGGGGTCCGCCGTATTACACAGCTGATATTGCTCCGTTCAAACCGCCAAGAGACAGTCGTGGTAGTGCTAATAGTTCAGGGAGGGGGGGTCCACGAGACTTTCATCGGTCAAGGGGTGATGAAACGGGCCCTGATTCTGTGAGTCACAGCAGTGGGATAGGGAGCCGTAACACGTCCCATAGCAACGGCTCGTTTCCTAATCGCTTGGGGAAGAACAGTATTTCCTACAGCTCTCTGCTGACTCCACAGGATCAGGATTTGAGCCAGGACTCGTCTCCCTTCTTGGAGGGGAGTTCAAGTCACAGGCGAGACACTTCAGGGGATGAGAATTACGAGTTTGATTCTATCAATGCACTTGAAAGTGACATCCTAGATGCATTGAGAAACTATTCCCAGCTTAGCGGGTCAGGGCCTCAGTCGGATCATCTTGGTCCAGAAAGTTTTAATCATTTATATCCGAAACCAAGAAGGCAGAGTCGATACGCTGACTCAGAACAAAGATTCAACCGCCTCCGAGAGGAGTTCAAGAAATACCGGGCACAGCAGGACACGGTGGAACCTAGGGGAGATAACTCACGTCCACTCTACCCCATGGATAGCGAGATGTTGTGATAGCAGTATCGCAGACATCTTCATGTAGGTCACAATTAAGTGCTTCTTCATTATATATGTTGCCATGGAAACATGGAAAAACATTTTCCATAATATATCACCATAGTCACAAAACATTTTCCAATTCCACCGTTCATACATTCAACATGCTTTTAAGTATACTCAACAAAGGATTAATGGAAATATTCCGGAATAGTTAAGTTGTATTGTATTTGTAGAAGTAATTCCATGTTCTGAAATCCACAGCTTTTGATTCTCAGGTCAATATTGGATAATATACAACTCAGTCCTCAGTGGGAATGCTGGATATTTCATTCTACAACATGTATTTACATATACTGTTATGGGGCCAGACTTTTATCCTTTTGTATACTGATTTTTGTCCAACCAAACTGGAAATATAATATCCCAATTTCAAATTATTTTCCTATGTTCTCCAGCAGACCGTTATTAGAATTCACTGTGTTTTGAAGTTTTGACTGACTGACTGACTGACTGAGTTTGGTTTTACGCCGCTTTTAGCAATATTCCAGCAACATCACAGCGGGGGACACCAGAAATGGGCTTCACACAATGTACCCATGTGGGGATTCAAACCAGGTCTTCGGCGTGACAAGCCAATGCTTTAACCACTAGGCTACCCCACCGCCCCCTTTGAAGTTTTGAAGATAAATTCACTTCTGACTGTGACAATAGTTTTTCAAATATTTTTATATATATTATAAATGAGGCTTGGTTTTCAGAAAGGTGGAATTATTAAAATAGATAAATATTAATGAATTGTTTCATTTTCATATGAATATTAGTGGTGGAATTTTGAAACATATATTTTTTCACATTAATTTTTTTGAGAGTGAAAATTGGAGTAGCAAGTTAATAAAAAAGTCTGGCCTGAATATCAGTATGATGTATCTTGAAAGAGTAGGGATTAAATATATATGACAAACAATATTGTTGAGATATTTCTGAGTTTTGTTCAGTTTAGAAATTAGGCTGGACATAGACCTAAAAAATCTCACAAGTGAATGTCAAGGCTGTAACTATGGCAACAGTGTGACCCTCCTGGGGATGTGTGCAATATCTACATTGTTGTGTTTCTGTATGTCCGCATCCTACAATGAATTCATCCAATCGATTGTGAGAGCGTCAGGTTTATATAATAACTTACGATGTATATATCTCAATATACTTAATGTGTTGTGTTGAGAAAATGCTTTATTGACGTTTATCGCCATGGATACAAAGTGTGATCTGTGTGGTTTAGTTACAATCTTCCATTGTTTTTAGATGGAAGCATTCCCTGTTAGTGCTGTAAATAACACGTTTATAGCTTGATTGCCATGGCGATGAGTGTATTGTTGTTTTGGGGTTAAGATGTTCTTTCTGGAAGTAGTTGATTTTAATGACAAATTTGACCTATGCAGTGCATCAAAATATTTCGATCAAAATCAAATGCTTTATTATTTGTTATTTCTAGCATTAATTAGGAAAACTGATTTTACATTTCCTTTTGCTATAAGGCCAAACCAATTTTATTTCTTGTTTTACGGATCCACCAGTCATATTCTTTCAAGAATAAGAAAAAAAAGTTAATATTCCCCGCTCAAAAAATAAAATCCTAATGTTTTATTGGTCAAAAATGTAAATTTACAAGAAAAGGTTTTTTTTAGATTGTGTTTTGCCCCATATACCCCATATAATTTACTTTTAGTATTTATTTATTTTTATTTTTATTTTTTTTCCTTTCTGCCTTTAGGTTTTCTGAGTACAAACATCCGTAAAACAAGTATTAAAATTGGTCTGGCCTAATGTAAATTTCACATTTGTGAAAATTTGTCGTTTTTTCAAGTGATAGTTAAAAGACTGTCATAATTCTCTAGCATACCCAACACGACTGTTTTTCGTAGAATTATCTGATACTGTTTTTTGACTGATGTTGATGGTAATAGACATGTTATCACATTCAAATGTGAAGTGTGATATTATAAACTTGTAGTATATCACTTGATGTACAGAAGCGTTTATACACAGCGTGAATGTTATTATTTTTTAAACCAGCGTGACTGCAGATGTACAGTTTATTCCGAATGAAGAGGTTGTACATTTAAATGAATATTAGTTTGAATGTCCCATTTCTCGTGCGTGTGTAAGACTTTTGCATCTGCCATGTTCATGGTCTGTATCCCACACCCCTGCATCATTGAACTTCACATATCAAAGATTTTTTACAAAGATCAACTTTATATCATATCAGATTTCCCCCAAATATGCTACTCAGTTTTCGATAAGGACACTGAGCTGTTTACTATTTACATATGCCCATTATTATTGACAAGTTGTTGTGCATGATATGGTGGGGCTATCCTTAAGAAGGTGGATAGCATACACTTATAAATATGTCCGACTGATTGTATACAAATTGTTTTGTTTTGTGAAGGTTCATGTAACATATTTTGCTTTTTAATTTATTTCAGGAGATCCTGTTTTTTGATTTGTTGGTTGGTTTTAGAGTACAAATTTCCAATACAGTGTTTCTGATGTTTAGACTGTCAAGATTGTCATATCTGATCCAGGTTTTGTTTTCGGTTTATTGCATTAGGAGTGTCCAGGTTCTGTCCACTGCGGAGAGTGCACTCATGACCTTGAGTGACCTTGAGTGACCTTGTTCCAATCTGCAAACTAAGTTTTATTGATCTTGGGTTGACCTTTGTTGACCATAATCACTTACATAACCAAAAACTCAAGCTGTGGAAGGAACGAGTGTCCACATGGCTCAGAGACTCCAAAACTTATTTATCGCATTTTGTCTCAAGTCTGTTTATGATTTCAGTTGTTCAGAATTGGCTTTGAGTTGTAGAACATACAGACAAATGTTTGATGTCTTCAGACTCAAATGGTTAAATGTATAGCAAGTTCATAAGTAGGTTGATTCATCGTTTTCTGGACAGTGTACAAGGTTTGGGATTTTGCCAACTGTCGTTATTAGGTATACCGGTAAATAGTTCACTGAGGGTAGCGTGAATGAGATGTATGTGGACTATTAATACATAGAATGTTAACAATGCATATTCTATTCAAGCCTTATTTAATTTAACTTCAACTTTGTGAGTTTAGTGTGAGGAATAAGAGTTTTTGATTGATCCATGAAGTCAGAATATCCGTGAACTGACGAAGGTCAGAGTGATAGAGATCAGGGACTGGCCACCGCGCCGCCAGCACGCATCTTCATGGCATAATCTGTACAGAGAAATCCACTGGTCTCATAACCATGCATCTCAGTTGACATATATACTTGCAATATTCTTACCAACTCGTATTTTTTCTTATTTCATCAGTGCTTTTATGCTTCTGTTTTAGAAGTCACAAAATACAGCAGACATGTTGCCCTTGAAACACACAGCATGTGTTGATGTTTGGGTGTGTTGATGTTTGGGTGTGTTGATGTTTGGGTGTTCTGAGGGTGAAGATACTACCCCTTTTACGCAATTTGTACCAGTTTTATTTGACTATGTTGACTCATCAGAATTATGTTTTATTATGTTCTAATTTAGAATGTATCTCAAGGTTCCTTTCGGATAATTTCTGTCGTCATGCAAGCTTTTGTCCTGACCTCAGGTTTAGACATTTTCTACTTCTTGTTGATGCTGAGACAAAGTCCGAGGAATATCGGCAACAGTGGTTTAGTTTTGTTTCAACTTCACTGTTTTATTTATTGCCAGTTCTGTTTGGATGTCAATAAATCAGAGGGTGGTATAATCGTGTCCCAGACCTGTCCAATATGGAACCATCAGCCAATGAAATGCTTAGCACAAATTTCCTTGTGGAGAAATCAGCCAATGAGTTACTAAGCTTAGTTTTTATTATGGAACATCAGCTAATGAAATGCTTAGCACAGATTTTCTTGTGGAGAAATCAGCCAATGAAATGCTAAGCTTAGATTTGATTATGGAACAGATTTTTGTTTTAAGAACATGCGATGATTGTGTTTATGAGCTGAACACTGCCAGAGTTTGTTTTGTTACTTTGATCTCTGTGTTGTCAATCTCACTGCTGGGAGACATGTATGTACATGCACACACATGCACACACATGCACTGTCATAAGGCATCATGTACATCAGGGCTGTGGAAACATACATTTCTAACCGGTCAAACACTTCACTAGACTCAGAAAAGGTTTACTTGTTCAGACCAAAAATAATGTTTTAATCACCAAAATGCGTGAGTGATTATGTTCTACGTTGCTTTCAGCAATATTCAAGCAGTATCACGGCAGAAGAACACTATGGGCTTCACACGATGTACCCATGTGGGGAAGCAAAACTGGGTCCTCAGCGTGACAAGCGAACACTTTAACCTCTGGGCTACAATACTGCCCCCATCACCAAAATATCTTTTGTGTATTTTTATACTACTATATATTCTTTTTAGCCTTCTCAAGATCAAAACAAGTCGGTTATTGCTTTGCACACTCATGTTTACGTACATTTATTCATCTACCCAGACATAATGATGAGCAGCTGAAAGACTGAGTGGGTATAGTTTTACGCCGCTTTTTTGCTACATTCCAGCAATATCATGGCGTGGGACACCAGAAATAGGCTTCACACGGTTTACTTATGTGGGGAACTGAACTTAGGTCTTTGGTGTGACGAGCGAACATTTTAACCACTAGGCTACCCCACCGCCCCTAGCTGAAAGAAATGGGTTATTCTCCATGTTTATGTTGATCTCATGTTGCCTTCATCAAGTTATTTTTTTAGCAGTAGCATTTATCCTTAACATGTTTAAAGCAATATATGTATGTCAACATCCTGTATAACAAAAACTGATTGTCAGTCGCATGCTTTTTAAATATTAGACATCAGAACTCTGGATTTCAATATTTAATGTTCCTTGAAATAGTTTGTCTAAAACATGAGTGTAAAATACGCTGCTGTTATTTAGTATGAATATTGCAGAGTAGCACATTTCACAACAAACAAACAAATAACAGACTGTAAAATACATGTTTTTGTGAGGTGAATGTCTCCCAGCTGTGAGTTTATATTTATTTATTTCCATGGTTACATGTAGTTTTGTATAATCCAGAAGAGGTGTTAGACTAGATAGGTGTGTGAAAGAATGTAGTTTGTACCGGTTCCGATTTCCTTGATACCAACAACACTAATCCAGTTACAAGGCTTGATCAACTAACCCTTGAGTGGAGAGGATGGTGTTCTGTTACGACTTTAGGAATAATCAGGGGATTTTTCTGAATTTCATGTTTAATTCATTAGAATTATATCTATGAGAAATAAATTTGATTTTTTTTCTTTTATTTATATAGCTGTAAGGCTTCTGTGCAGTAACTTGCAGAATAACTTTTAGTTATTTCTTGTGTTTTTATCCAAGAGAATGGTGGACTCGTCTTCATCTCACACTAATTTTAATGGCTGCCTATAGCATGAGATGATTTGTTGACAAATGTTAACAGTTTA